CTGATTGACGAATACCTTTGCCTTTCATTAATGCAAATCTATGTTCAGTTGCCCAATGTGCTGGTAATATATATGGATGAGTAACATGTGCAATAAATGAATATTGATTTTCATTATCAATAATTATATCAAAATAATATTCATTATGTATATGACCAATTTTACCAACATAAATATTTTGTGTTTTATTATCAAATACTTCTAATTTCATACCTTCTGTAAAACGATGTTTACGTATTTCTTCTTGATCTTTAAATAAATTTAATGGAAGAAATTGTTTTTTTGATTGTATTAAACACATATCAATAATTGGTTGTTTATCAATAGAAAATAATTTAAAACATGTTGGTATATCATAAAAATAAATTAATGAATTATTTGAAGTCCAACCAATAAAATGAAGACGCCAATCAAGATAAAATATATGAATATCAGAAGAAAATAAATTTGAATCTTCTTCATTTGTTGTATTAATAATATATCGTAAATGTAATCGTCCACCTCGATTATTTATTATTCGAACAAACCATACTGTCCATGGACGATTTATATCTTGTAATTCAAGTAACATACCACATTTTAATTGTTCAACAGGATTAAGACCAATATTCTACAAAATAAAAACAATATTTGTAAACTTGGAATTTATTTCAAATCGATTTAATTCTATTCAGTATGAAAGTGGTGACCCTCCAAACATTCAGTTGCCTCTCCCGAATAGTGTTTTGCAACTGAATCGGATACTTGGAACCCTACCCTGTACTATATGAGGTTTCAATATTTCAAAATATTTTAATTTCTTCAAACTGCTATAAATATAAAAGCCTAGAAATGAAAACCGACTTGCTCATGCTTGAGCAATTTATTGTACTTGAGAACTGGAAACACAATATTGCTTTACCAAGGGAATTTGTTTTTAATGAAAAATCATCTACAGATGATGACAAACCACATGACGAAGCAATTGAATGCGTAGGGAGGAAAATGAATTACCAAAAAAGTGAATATATATTGTCGTGATGAAGAAAGTATTCATGTATGTATTCACAATTACAGCGTTTGGTATAAACAGTGAGTTTCATTCCAGCATTATTAGCAACAAGCAAACACTTAGCGAAATTGATTAGATTTTAGAAGCAGAAAAACACCAAATAAATCCTGAATCAGAGGCTGAATCGAACAGAGTTCTACTGGTTTGATTCGGCTCCATTTTTGAAAGAGCAGGTCGGGTTATCTTTATGTTCTTAAAACCAGTTTTGAATTCGGTTTGGATCGATTCGAACCGAAGCAAAATAGGTCGGTTCGGTTCGTTTTCGATCTCTATACTGAATCACTTGCTTTTTAGCCAAGTTTAAGATGATTTCGTTTCGTTTTGTTGCTGTTTATCGAAGAAATTAAATAGTATATTTTTTCATATAAAATAAATCTTTAAAAATTATACTATGATTGTAAAAGTATCTGCTGGATGGTGATTAGCACCAATCTAAGTTCGGACGCGAAGACTCGTACCCTTGCAGAACACTACTCCGGAAGAGATGTGTCAATAAAATACTGGTTGTATTATTATTATTTTTCTACAAGAATCTTTTACTCAAGTTTTGACAATGACTATGCAAGGTAGTTAGACTTTATCGATATTATAATGGATTTTTTGATTGTGTCCTATGAAATCAAATTCAAGATGATTTTTCAATGGTTTAATTTTATGGGTAAAGAAAATCAAATAATTTATTATGAGTCTACTAGATAGAACTATTATGTTCATTAACAATGTTTTCTATAGTTTATTTTTTTATTGATAGTTTCATTATTTATTTTAATATTACATAGGTAAGATTAAGATAAGTAGAAGTTCTATGGACTATGAAATTTTTTGGATTAATCTAAAAATTAACTTCTGATATCTTCTCGTTGCAACTAATATGAAATTGATTATTTATGCGATAGTTATCAAATTGTATCTTAATGATGATTTATAGAAGCTATTTGTTATCTATTCGAGCTTGACAACAAATCGATTTCTTATAAAATAAATAAACAAATTTCGATCAGCATATAGAGATTAATACTTCAATTATTTCGAACCAAATCATAAATTGAACGATAGCTACATGCGTACGAAACAAAAAAAAATGACACTGCGATTTTCATACAGTTGGATAACCTTCAATGTTTAATTAGGTTACACTTTGTTTCGCATTTTTCTCAAGTTAGATTTTTCTATTTTTTCCTGTTCTTGTGTCTAAAATTTCTTGATCGTTTTACATACTAGAAAGCTTAGAAAAGCTTTAAATTGACGAGAAAATTGTGCTGTACAACTTAACATAGTCAAAATTCTCATAAGTAAACAAATAATATTTTGAAATATTGGATTCTGTTAAGTTGTAGTAGCAGATCTTAGCTGCATTTTAAAACCAACTTCCAATATTCATCATTAGATTTCGAGGAGAAATTCTTGTCACACGAACACGTAATTTTTCACCCTCGGGTGCTTATTCTGATTTTGTCACACAAAGGGCGTTTTATAGGTCGAGTCGAACTCACATGTAAATGAATAAGAAGAACTTTATTTACGCTAGACATAGATGAATCGAAGATCATTATCATGATCTTTTCAGGTACGGAAACATCTTTATGGCTTCTGACATATGAAAATATTCGCCGCATCAAAGATATTTTTCTAAGAGATTATGATAACAAGTATGATGTTAAAATATTATACCTAGGGTTGGTCAAAAGTTCTCAGCCCGGTGTTTAAAGGACCTTGTCGGATAAGGTAACCTATTCAGAAATGAAAAACCAAATATCCGATATTGTAGAGCTTTTTGAGGTACGTCGAATAGTATATAGTAAATCCTATTTTCATAAGACTTTGAAGAAACCAGAGTCAATTTACTGATAGATGAGTATACACCCACAAGATGATCAGAGATTCTACATATATGAAATAGTCAGTAACCTACCATGTTTAGGTGTGGATGTGTAGTCGTTAAACAGTAAATTGACTCTAGTTTCTTCAAAATCTTATTGAAAACAGTATTTACTATATACCATTCAACGTGTCTCAAAAAGCTCTACAACATCGGATATTTGATTTTTCATTTCTGAATAGGTCGCCTTAACCGACAAGGTCCTTTAAACAACGGCCTTAGAACTTTTTATCAATCCAAAGTAGAATTCAAGATCTGATTAGAACACAAGCGAGTAAATGTATTCGTATGTATGGATATATTAATCCATTCATATTAAAAACAAAAGAAGTTTCTTATTTGTTTATTTTTTATGTTCTACAATCAACATCACGCTTGAATTGTTTCATGTGGATTGATTCTCGAATTTGTTTTCTTGTAATACTTATTCACAAAAGTTAATATGATCTAACGATTAGAAAAGAATAAGTATTAATGTAGCCAGAAACAAAAAATGATGTTGGGAGTTCAGCCGAACTCATAAAAAAAAGTGTTCGGAAGTTAAAATCAAAATAAAATCTCGTTCCAAACAGATACAATTCGTATTTTTTTGTTTTCAATTCATTTAAAATATAATAATCCAGATAAAAAGAAAAAAGGTTTACTTTATCAAATAAATAATCTGGTGGTGTTTGTAAATGATCATTTTCTCCTTTAATATTTCCATTAATAATTATATTTGTATTTATTGATGTTTGTTGAATAGCTCGTTTTGTAACAATAGGTGGTGGTAACATTAATTTACTATTTTCTTTACACCATCCAATTGGATGACAACGTTGTCCATAAATATATGCCCAAAAATCATTTGATGTATCATCTTCTGGTATTCCAATATAATGTAAAAGAACTAAACTATGAGAAACTAATTGTATTTGTGTTAACCAATATAAATCACGTTGTGTATCATAACAATATTCAAGTTTCATATGAATTTCAAAACCTGAATTAATTGATGTTAAATAATGATCAAAAAATTCATCGGAAACTGGTCGTTCATTAATAATTGAAAAATATTTTGACCAAAGAAAATTTGATAATGATAAAGAAGAAGAATTTAAATATGGTTCAAGTTCATGAATAATTATTCGAGATGTTGATGAACTAGAAAAGAAATTTATTTTAATAAAAAAAAAATGATAAAAGATTGTTTTCTTTTTTGTTTTTTTACTTGATTTTTTTAATGGAATTATAAAGATCAAGTTTTGATTTATTTATATTTGTATTATCTGACATTAAATCTTCGTTTATTGGAATATTTTGATATTGATCAGTTAATGATTGTTCAATATTAAAATCATTTTTAGTTTCAACTATTTGAATATCATTATTATCAATTGTATCTGTATAATTACATGAAGAATTATTTGTCCAATTATCAATAATAATATTTGAATCATTTGTATTTATTGTTGTTGTTGTTGTTATTCGTTGACTAAGATCAAGTATAGATAAATTTGAATGAGATATATCACAATTTGAATTAATATTATTTGTCGAATTCATAATTTTATTTTCGATTATATTTTTTTGTTTTTACATAATTATCATCTTGAAAAATAAGAGAATCAATGAATAAAAACTAGTTTATGTTTTTGTTGAAAATAATCAAGGTCAATATAATTTAAAGAGAATTTTATGAAAAACCTTAGTTAGATCTATTCAATAAAAGATTTAGTTATATTAACAATAAATAATATGAAGTAAAAAAATATCTTCTCCCTAGAAAAGAAACTTTGGATGGTAACATGGAGAGAGACAGAGAGCGAGAGAGCGAGAAGGAGAGACATAAGAACAAGAAGAGAAGAACGAAAAAATACCTTTATCATTCTCAATATAATTGTTGACTATTTTGTTAACCATTCAGAATTCATCTGCGATCCTTTATTACAACTCGTAATTAAAACAGATGGCGTTGATACAAAAAAAATTTTTTTTAAAAGCTATTGATGAGAACTATGCATACTATTATAGTTTTTCTATTAGCAAATGAATTTTTCACGGAAAATTATTATTATTTTTTTTGAAATATTAAACAGGTGCAACACGATTCAGTTCTAAAACAGTTTTTGATGCATGTTTTCGTTTCTTTGAACGACGACGACGACGATTTTTGAAAGTTGACTTTTTTAACCATAAAATGAGGATAATCCATGCAATTGAAACAGCAGGAATGACAGTAGACAAAATAATAATTAAAGTTTTATTATTGGAAGCAGCTACGTTATCATCACTCGTAGTCGTAGGTATCTAAAAATAAAAAGAAATTAAGAAAAAAACTTGATTAGGTTAGATTATTCTTTAAGTAATAAATTTCATTTGATTTTATCTTCGAATATTATTGTTATATTCTATATTACCACTGATAAATCAGTTTTCGTGCTGGTAGATGTTGTGATACTAACAAAACAAAATTATTGAAGAAAAGAAATAATATTCGAAATATTCTAACCTGGTTGTATCATTAGTTGTCGATAATATGGTCGTAGTACTGTCCTATGAATAAATATTATCTATCAGTGTTCATTTTAAGTTAAATACTTACTGTTAGAGTTGTAGTTACCAATGATATAACAGTTGATGTTCTCATTGTTGTTTGTAGAGTTGTTATAAAAATACTATCAACAAAAAAAAAAAGGATTTGGAATTAAATAATTTGAAGATAGACTATTGACATAATAAACTCAAACCTGCTCGAAACATCCGATATTTTTGATGTCATTAGATCGTTAGTAACCAATGTATTATCTAGATACAACTTAAAACTAATTTATCTTTTATCTATATTTTGCATACCACAACTGCCTTGATGAATCGAAATTTCATCAAATCCTACATAAGGTTCTCGAACTCCAGATGTTCTCTGTACTTCAAAATATATCTGAAAAAGAATCATCGTTCAATAAAACATTTTCTAACATTTCTATTCTCAAAAAATATCGCACTTTATAACCAAATGCTTCAGTATTGAAAGATATTTTACGTTGTATCCATCCATTGAACGGACTCCTTGTTACCGAATCAATAATCTCCATTGTACCATTCGTTTCCTCCTTATTTATGGTGATAATCTTGTCATTCGTGGCGTCCATGTAATAGTAATAAATAAGACATTGTTGACCTATACCATTGATTCCATCAGATTCAGTTTTAAGTTGAAAAGATTTTTTATCATTTGTAAGTAATTGCACAAAACCAAATTTGCCTAAAAAAAATAAAAATATTTAAAAAAAAATGAAAAGATGCAATTTGTTTACGCGTTAAACCAACCTGATTTACATGTACTATTTGAACTAGTTTCTGTTGGACAATAACCTTCGTTACAAAAATACATGTCCCAATCATATGAATCAATTTGATAGGGTAATTTGCATACTTCTCCGTTATCTGTCGGTTCCACTAAATAGACATAAAGATTTAGTATTTACAAAAGAAATGGTACAATATAATTTTTTTCGTACAGCTTGAAGTTACATCTGATAATGGTCCATTTGGTGCTATGACATTCGAATTTCCTATATTTGTAACAACAATTGTTCCTGGAGTGAAACAATTGTCAATTAAAGAAGCATTATCAAAGTCACATTCGTACAGGACTTGATTTGAACTAACTACTGTTAAAGTAACAATTTCTGCTTCTGTGGTTTCGAGCTTTTTAGTTGTTGAAATATCAGGTACAATCAACATTGATGTGTGGATCTATTACAATACAAAAAAATTTTTTTTTTATATATTTGATGAAAAGATTCATTACCATTGGTACTGAGGAACTATTTGAAAATTTAACAAAAAAAAAAAAAACAAGAAAATTTAAATAGTACGAAGACGTGCAATTTCATACCTGACAATATCAATAATTGGAGTTGTTATTGTTGTTAAAGTATCAGTAGTTACATATTCATCATCTGAAACAACATTGATATGCAATTCTGTTATTTGTACAATGTTTTTTTTTTGAATACATACCACGACTGATTTGTCGAATTGATATTTCATCCAATCCAATATCAATTAAAGACATTTCCGATGATATTTTCTGTAGATCGAAATAGAGCTGGAAAAAAAAGATTACAACATTAATCAAATAAAGTATGGATTAAAAAAAAAAAGAAAAGATTTTTCTACTTTATAACCAGACATTGTTGCATTGAATAATATTTGACGTTTGATCCATCCATTATATGGACTACTTGTAACAATGTCAATTATGTCATTACTACCACTTACTTCTTCTTTACGTACTGTAATACTTTTTTGACTAATATTTGGCATATAATAATAATAAATAAGAGATTGTTCGTTTATACCATTAATACCACTTGATTCAGTCTTCAATTGAAAAGTTTGTATGTTATTATCAAACAACTGTAATCCAGCATATTGTCCTATAATTAAATATAAATTTAAAAAAAATAATTATTAAGTATTGTACAAACCTGATGCACATGCACTGTTTGTACTAGTTGCTGTCGGACAAGAACCTCTGTAGCAAAAGTACATATCCCAAGTATAATTACGTACTTTGTACGGTAAATTGCATACTTCTCCACTATTTGTTGGTTTTACTAAATAGACAAGTGATCATCTAGAATCTTCAATCTTCAATCTTACAGATCGATGTTGCGTCAGAAAATGGACTATCTGGTGGTTTATCAGAGACGAAGCCAAAGGTTGTGAGAATTAAGATTGGTGTAGTAAAACAATGTTCGTCTAGTGTAGCATTGTCAAAATTACACTCGTATAGTATTTGAGAATAAACATAAGATAGACAAATGAAGATTGAAAAATTGGTAAGTAAGTAGAAATACATAATAATTTTTAATTGTTTTCAAGTGTCCTACAAAAAAAATATACTGAATAAGAAGTAGATTCTATTATTTTATTATTTTAGACAAAAAAAAAGGAATTTCTTTAGTAATGATCACACCATTTATAATAACTTAAGGTACAAAACAATGACACATTTCTGTTATCTATAGGTGAGTTAAAAAATTCATTTTTTTTCTTTCTTTCTCCATTATGATAATAAAGTCAAGGTAATAGCAGAGCAGCTTGTATTAAAGTTGAACATAACCGATATTAAACAATTTTATGAAGCATCGATAAATAAGTTTTTTTTTTTATCTAGATATTCTTATTATAATATAATCATTTATAAAAATAAAATCTACTATTGAATTAACAATCGATAGGTTTTCTTCTTCTTCGTTTTTTACTAATAAATTATGGAAAATAAAAGTATGTTTATTTATTATCAACAAACGATAAACGCATTTGAAATATCATTAGTAAATATTTTCCATCGAAGAAGTTAGATTTTATTTCTGAACTTGCTCATTTTCTAAATCTATTAACAATCAAACTAATGAATACTAACATCGATTTATTCATTCCTGATATTGCATTAACATCAGCCTGACGAATTAGTTGTGTACCTGTACTACCATTCTCCATAATAATATTTATTGAGCTAATTCATCATTGTGTTTATACAACTACAAACATATCTTTATATATCAATCACACAAGACAAGAGAAAGAGACACACACTTTGCTATAGTCAATACTATGAAAGAAATCATACAGTGATGAGAAGGGAAGGAATATTTAACAGCCCTATACTAATACAATGAGTATCACAAACGTAAGAATGTCTAAATAGATTATTAGAAATACTTTTAATTCCATGAATCGAATATGTTATCCAATTCTACTTGTTGAATCTTGTTCAGTTGGATATTTAAACTTAAATATTCTTTCTGATTGATCATCTCGAAGAAAATGTCAAATAATATTACGAAATTTAATTTGTGATACATTACTTCATATTAATGATTCCATATAATTGGCTATCATCAACAAAGCCTTTTCTTATTTTGTGAAGAAAACTAAATAAATTACCTGTTAAATAAAATTAGCTATCAGATTATCTGACACAGTGATGTGATTCATTTCGTATTTGCTCACTTCTATCTTTTACATTTGAAATAGAAAGAATTCATTCGATTATTTGCTCATAACTAACAGAATTTCCATCAAAGTCAATAATATCAACAAAAATTGGCATCATTTTTAACAAAAGTTGCTTGTCAAGAGTATATCCAAACTACAGATGGATAATAATCAATCGATAAATTAAACTTATGCTCAGCAATCAATGCAAGTTGTACAAATCATAAATACATGATTACTTATAGAAAAATTATTATGTATAGATTCGATCATGTTGATTAATTCATTGTTTTAGAACTGAATAGAAGAATGTTATTTAATGTTTAGATTCTTTGTAGGTATCTAAACGATATATTTTTGTGATTGATGAATTGAAAAAAAAAAATATCAAAATATTTGTTAATAAGAAATATTACAAATTGTTCAGATGATAAATAAACTCGATTAATTCAGCTATTAGATACTATACATTGATTTTAATCATGCGAAATAAAAATATTTCATCGATCTATAGTGGAAGTACTTTGGATTATAGCTAAACAAGATTTATTTGAAATCCAAACATTTATACTCAATAATAGATAATTGCATTACCAGTAATTAATCAATTTATTAAAGAATCTTGGAATAAAGAGCCAACTGAACGAAATTTCGAACGATATTTTGAATTATCAATAGTAGACTTTTTTGATGATGCATACAGAGAATATTTTGAATGTTTCTTTTCCTTGTTTGAAGTCAAAAGAAAACAAAATTCTAAATTAATTATTTTCTATAATGAATAAGATATTCATACTATTGATAAATTAGAGACTAAGTAATAATACTAACGAAATGTTGGTGATAGTAGCTAAAAAGAATACTAGCATTACCATATAGGTTTTAACTAAAAAAAAGATATTAATAATAGTCGAGAAAAATATCGTCTAAAATCTTGATTGATTAAAAAAATGTAATTTTAGTAAAAGTATTTTTTTTTTATTTCGATGGTTATTGAATTTGAAGAAGTTTAAGTTGATGTTGGCAACACTTGAGTATCTTCAAAATTAGATGGTAATATTTTTCTGTGACAAGGAAACTTTATTATCTAAATGATCAAACCAACAGCTGTAATCAAGATAGAACGATGATATATGCATTATTGAATTGACCGTATTGATTCTTAGATAAGGTAGTTAAATCTGATGAAGGTCTAATTTTGTTTGAAGTATTAATAGTAGCCAAAATTGATGATGTCATTTTTACTGTAGACGTGTTCGCAGTTATCGACGACCTTAGAGATATAATTGTTGTTATCATAGTACTAATTGTCATAGAAGAAGATGCAGTTGTAGTTATGGAAGAAACATCTTTGCCGAGCACGATAAAATACATTTTGTTTGGCGAAGCATTCAGTTCTAGATGTATCAGAAACTCAAATTGAATCGATTATGATTCTCTGAGTTTTATTCATTGACGATTTCCATATGTTCTCGCCAACGGTGTCAAATAAATGTCCTTCAATGTAAAATTCAGATTCTTCATGTCGAGCATTTTTACAAACTATATTGATATGTTCTCATCAGTACGTATGAGTTTGATCTCAGGCGCGTTTTCATATTAATGTTTTTTCTATGATGGCTAATTCTGAAAACACATTGATAACTGACAAAATTTGCTAAGTTTATGCGCTGTAAGGAGATAATCAGTATATTGTTAATATTTTACAGCATTCTCATTCAACACATCTATGCAATTCTCATTATAATCATCATTTGATATTTTGATCGTATATAATCATGAATACGTCGCAAATACACTTTTTCATTACTGCTCCGCGTATTTTTCTTAATTCTCTAGTTTAGATGATAAGCGATCTTGAGAGTGTGGATGCATGTGGATATGGATTGTAGGTATGACGAGTGTTGATGTAGATATTGATTTCACTCACAGTGTCCAAAGCATTCTACAATGAGAATGTTTGAAGCACTGTCATACACAGCTTCACTAACGAAATTATAAAGACTGGCACATATAATCCTGATGTGGATACTTCAAACACTGAACCTCACTTGAATTCTATGAATATCCAATTTCTGAATGGTGAGTAAATCTCTCTAAAATTCATTATTTTTGAAAAAGAACCTTTAGTTAAACTGAAGAAAGAGACGAATCGCTATTCATTCATCGACATTCGTCAATAATTTATCTTATATTTCCAATTCTGATCGAAATATTCAATTATTTAAATATCAACATTTATTTTCTCATCACATTGAAAAACTCGAAAAGAAATTTCATCTTATATTGTTATGTGTATATATTTATAATTTTTCATTCATTGCTCTTTCCCAACACATTTATAATATACACGAAACAAGAAAAACAAATCAACATAATCGATGAAAACAATGCAAAAATGCAAGAAAGAAAAAAAAAATAATAATGTACTACAGATAGGAATGTTAAAATGTGTATAATGAAAGAAAATACTTTAAAATTAATAAATTTTGTTTTAAAAATAAAAAAATTGAAATATACATCAAAAAAACAAACAAACAAAGAAAAAAACCAAATGTTTTAATTATCAATTTGTTTTGTTCAAAAAGAAAAAAGAAAAGAAAAGAAACGAGCAAAAGACCGGTCAAAAATGAACAATTATTCATTCTCACTGTATGTAAAATGGACGGACAATGGAAAAGAAAAAGATATCACATATATGAATAAATCAAATATTTATCGATTATTAACAGGTGTAATACTTCCACAAGCTGAATCATCACGTGATGTTGGCGTTGGTGTTGGAGTATTATTAGCTGTATTTGCTTGTTCAACAAATCTTGCATACATAACTTGAGCTATATGATTAACTTCAGTTATATCTGGTCGTTGTTCAGGGTCTAATACAAGACATCTTGCAACAAGATGACGAAGCTATTTAAAAAGAAGAAAAAAAACACAAAATAAAGCTTTTACATTAAATAAAATAATTGAAAGAAAATACAAACTTCATGTGAAAATATATTTGCTGGTAATGGTGCATAGTCAAGTGATAAGATTTTTTTGCGTAATAATACGAGATTCAGATTTTCACCATAAAATGGAGAACGTAGTGCTGCCATCTAAAATCAGACAATTCGAAAAAAAAAATATCCCTAATAAAGAAAAACTTTATCTTTACTTCGTATAAAATACAGCCAAGCGACCAGATATCAGATCGAAAATCATAACCAAGATCATGTTCATGAATACGTTCTGGAGACATATAATATCTATTATTGATTTCAACATAATTATTTATATATTTGATTAATTATTAAAACTTACGGTGTTCCAACCATTGAATGAGCTGAATTTGTTTTTGAACCAAAAAAACGACCTTTTATAAAAATTTCAATAAAATCATAATGAAATAAAATTAAATAAGAAATTAAACTAACCTAATCCAAGATCACCTAATCGAACAATACCTTCGGCACTCACAAAAATATTTGCTGGTTTAATATCTATTATTTCAGAAAAAAAAAAACAAAGAAAAAAAATTTTTCAATGAAATGAAAGAAAAAACGCTCGATTTTTTTTTATACCTCGATGCATAATTCTTTTTGAATGCATATGTTCAAGACCACTACAAATTTGTCGAAAAAATTTCCATATTGTTTTTTCTGTCATTCTTTTATTTGTTTTAATAAAATGTTTTATCATTTGAGCTAAATCACCTGCACTAGCTAATTCCTAAATTAATTTCAATAAAAAAAATTTTTCTTTTTAAATCTTATTATGAAAATAAATAAAATCTTACTAAAACAATATATAAATCATTCTCTTCTACAAAATGAGATATGTATTTAATTACATTTGGATGATTAAGTTGCTAAAATAATGTAAATAATGTTTTTTTTCTTTTTCGTTTTTAAGGTAGAAAAATCCATACTTGAAGTAAACTTATTTCACGTTTACAATCTTCAATAGCTTTGGCATCAGCCATTTGACTCAGCTAAGATGAACAAATAAAAAATTTCATTATGTTTTTTTTTTTTTGTTTTTGAAAAATAATCTTACTTCAACTTTTTTCAAAGCAACATAAACATTATTGAAACGATTTCGAGCAGAATAAACAACAGAAAAATGGCCATAACCAAGTTTTTTAATAACCTCAAAATTTTTTAATGCTCCATATGGATCGGATACACCTTGAGCTGATAATGGGCCAAGAACATTCTGCTGAATACTCATATCTTAAAAGAAAAGAACAAAAAAAAAAAGAAATTCATTAATTGAATTAAACAAAAATAATTTGGTTTTTTCTTTTCATTTTTATTTATTTATACATTGAGAAAAAGAAAATGAATATAAATTTTTATGTTTTATACTAAATTTTTTCGATAATTTTTATTGTATTTCAGCAGTAGAATTAAGAATAAATCGAACAACAACAGCAAATACAGCTAATAAGGCAACAATCATTAAATTTCCAATAAAATTATTTAACCATGATGTTGATGATGAATCACTATTTGATG